GTTTGGGTACATCTTTTAATTTTAATGGTAATTCCCAGCACACAGGAAACCACGGGATACCACGGCCCCAAGTGTCGTCGCTGCCGGCCGTGGGCATCTGCTGCAGGATGCGCTGAGTGCTCTCGGCGCGCTCCCGCTGCTCCTTCACGGCACTGTAGCGCGCCTGAAGCTCCTTGAAGTGCGCAAGCTTCGCCAAGGGATCCTTAGCGACGGATTTTGTGGCGACAATGATAGATGATTAATATAAACCAACTGTTTATAAATATATGGCTTTGAAGTTGATAGATGGTGACGATTGTGGGGGTGTTCAATATTAGGGGTATAGGATTAATAAGTTGATGGATGGCCAAAATTGACCCTGGTCAACCTCCCTCAAAGTTGATAGGTGTTATAGATATATGATGTGTATATATATATACATATATGTGTGTGTAAATATATATATATGGTGTTTTAACGTTTCAAACCATAGATGGTTGCTCTTTGGCAATCAAACAGGGCGGGCCGCTCGGAAATCCCGGAAGAGGATTTTCCACTTCCATCTAAACCCACTTGAGGGACTTAGAATCACAAGGGTTGTTAACCACTGACCAAGTGGTGTGATCGATGATTAAGCAATAATACAGTAAGACAGTAAGACATGGTTGCACCAACCCCCAATGGCAGGTTAAGGTGGGCCAAATTCAGCTGTTCGAGATGACCAATGAAGACATGAGAATTCTAAGTGGGGCCTTCGGCAGCCAATGTAGTTGGTATATCGTATCAGTTGTGACGATGTTTCTCCGATTTTTTGATAAATACGAGTTACTAGTTACAGTAATCTCAAAAACAAAAAAGATGGCTATAAGATGGAAAATATCAGGTACCAATTGCAGGTGGAATGGCATCACTTTGATGAGTGATGGTCCTCCAACTACCCTGTGATAAACAAACATCGCCGGGGAAATCTTCAATTGTTCAGCCAGAAAATCATGAGAATTGGGTATGAAGGGTTGGTTTTCCATTGCCATATTTTTCCATGTTCGCTGGGACTAATTTCTCTACTGACAACTCTTCAAATCATGATCCAAGCAACATTTACCATAAAATTTGCCAAAAACCGCTCAAAATCACAAGAATTGCCTCGAAACTGTAGGTTCTCTCGGCCATTGGTACATCTTCGTGCCCGATTTCCGCATTTCTCACCCAAGTCTCCCATTCCTCCGCAGCCTTCAGCGCGGGCGAACTCCCCAAGACCTGTGCCACCGAGCTCAGCCGCCGCTGGCCGCTGGCCACGGTGGCGACGGTGGCCACGTGGGCTAAAGGAAACTCCAACTTCAAGCTGCTGTCCTGGTCATTGAGTTGCGCCAGCCTCAGGTGGCGTTTGGCGCTGTTGTTTGGACCTAATCTTGGAGAATTCCAATCGAAATTCCTGGTTGAGTAGTGAGATTCATCTCGGCGATATGGGAAGTATTGAAAATCTGGGTTAAAGTATGACCAGGAGAGTAACTCAAAGTCTGGAAACTCCACTAGTTTGGGTGGTGCTTGACTCACCCTCCTTGGGACCCATCTAGATCGGTAGACTCCCATGCCTCGGGTTATTGGGTTTTACAGTTACGAGAGGGCTGAGAGAATCCTCCACGAGCTTTTTCATAACTTAGACTAAATCATAGTAAATCCCAATTTTTGGGGGTTGTAGCCCTTCAAATGGTGAAGCTAGGTGTGGTTCATGGCGTGTGTACCACTCCCTCTCACCCTCAGCCCAGCAACAATTCATCGATCTTGTGCTGTGGCAGCTCCAGTTCAATCTCAACATCTTCATGTTCGTCTGAGTCGCTGTCGGCCTGTTAGCCACGTTCACAATAGAACTGGCCGTTTCAGGGCTAAGCTTTTCTTGCTTTTCGGTCAAGACAAAGTCTGGGGTTTGTTGTGTCCCACATGATTGGCGCCTGCGAACCCGAAATAGGAGGTATACACCCCCATTTTCCCCCAAAAAATTACATGACATCGAACCAAAAATTGACGAGCCAAGAAGGAAAATCATTCCAGTCCTATTTTTACGCTTAATTCTCCGTCCTTTTTGGTCTAACCCCCATTGTTTGTTGGTTACATGTTCACTTTTGCATCTTAAACCCCCCTGAAAGACACAGTTTTTGACGATGACATCTTCATTTGCTTGCGGAAAAAATGATTTCGTGCCTGAGCCTGGCGAAACTTCCGGGGCGGTGCTGCTGGGGTACCTGCCACAACTTCCGGGGCGGTTTCTCTTGAAGATTGACAGTAATGTCCAATGAGAAACCTAGCATTTGGGGATGGTTTATACCGCCCCTTTCATGGTGATTTTTGGGCATGGTTTCTTTGTGGGTTTACCACATTATATAGTTAGTGGTGGCAATAGCAATGATAATTCACAACGGCTCATTTTGTGTGTGTAAACGTTAGGTCATGTGACTTTGCGGTACGGCAATTGATGGTTAATGACAATAGTTACCCATATGTTTAAGATTACGATGATGATCATCATGCATTGATATTGATAATTCCGTTTATCATTATGATTTATGACCGTTATTACAGTAATCGATGGGTTTTAGATGACCTATTGGTCTCATAATCTTTGATGTTGTCAATTTTGGTTGATGATTGGTTATTTGCCCCGCAAATGCCAGGAGTCAAACCTGGGAATGGCTAGGACAGTGATTTGGAAATGAGAAAAAAAAAACAGCGAATGGTGAAGTTCCAAGGTGTAGTCTTAAGAAAATAAAACAATAATTCCACAAGTTGCTCGGGGGGCGAATTGAGGCTGGTGAACTTTCACTTGCCCGCGGCTAACCACAATTTAAAACTAAAAGAAAACAGATTGATGCACCCCCATTGACCTATTCGAGTGGTTCCCGAAAGTGACAAATGGCGAGTAAAATGATACCTGCCCAATTCAACAATCCTGGGTTTGTTCATCCGGGGTTGACATTGCTTCATTGTTCTGAGGGTCCCATACTTGGGGGTAATCATGGATAATCTTTTATAGCCCGGCAATAGAAAGTCCAAAAGTGACTTACAGAAATCATCTACAAATGGTAGATGTTCCAACGGGTAAGATTATGATAGGATCCAAACCATCCCAATGTTTTTTCCATTCTCAAACTCGCATGGCCACTGACATTCTCAGCTGGTTGAAGCTATTGGACCAAATGGTGTCCTTCATGGCAGGTTTGACCAGTGGCAATTGAACCTGGCAATTGAAAATCAAAAAAAAAAAAGAAGGTTTTAATACATCTTTAGGTCTTCTAGATCTTTACTATTTCAAATGAGTTCTATCTTCACCACATGACGGTACTATGCCTTAATGAGAACATCAAAAACAGCACCCAGCACCGGCCTGCTGTTGGCCTCGGTTCTGCCATCAGTCGCCCACCTTTGGTACCTGGGAGTATCGGCTTAAAGAGTTGAACAGTCCTACTGGGTGAAACGGGTGGTTCTTTTTAAAGAGGTGCCCCAGAAATATATATATATATATGTGTAATTATATGTGTATATATTATCAAAATATGATACATAATAAAACATATAATACAACATATAACAGTAGTGCCCGCACGAGGCGGGGCGGAAGCTGCCTTAAAGATATATATAAGATCTTTCTCATCTATAGAACTTGCATGCGCCGTGCGCCAGCCAAGCCCGTGCGTGCGTGCACTCTGCGAAACTGGTGTCCTCTTTCACATGTCACATTTGAAGCTCCACTTCGCCCTTCACACTTCTCACTGCACTCTTCACACTCCACACTGCACACTTCACACTTCACACTCCACACTTCTCACTTCACACTGCACTCTTCCCAATCCACACTTCACACTTCACACTCCACACTTCACACTTCACACTTCACACTTCTCACTTCTCATTGCTTTCTTCACACTCCACACTTCACACTGCCATCTGCAACCAGAGATTCAAGAACCGCACGGAACTACGCACACAGGAACAACCACTCGTTGCAAAACACATAGGAGGAACAATTCGCGCATGAAACGACCCCAGCCGCAACCGCCGCACAGACGAGGTACCTTTCATCGTCGGCTGCAGCCACTTTACACGGAAAAACACAAGGTTTGGTGCTCCGGCTTCCTCCCCAAAACATAGCCCATGCAACATTCATGCAGCCATTACAATGCGTTTCGCAGCATCCCGTGGCAAACCCGCACCTATCTACGCACGTGGCAACATCAAATGACGACAATGAAGCAGCCATTCCAATGCAATCTGCAACCAGAGATTCAAGAACCGCATAGAACTACGCACACAGACACAACCACTCGTTGCAAAACACATAGGAGGAACAATTCGCGCACAAAACGACCGCAGCCGCACCCGTCGCACAGACGAGGTACCTTTCATCGTCGGCTGCAGCCACTTTACACGGAAAAACACAAGGTTTGGTGCTCCGGCTTCCTCCCCAAAACATAGCCCATGCAACATTCATGCAGCCATTACAATGCGTTTCGCAACATCCCGTGGCAAACCCGCACCTATCTACGCACGTGGCAACATCAAATGACGACAATGAAGCAGCCATTCCAATGCAATCTGCAACCAGAGATTCAAGAACCGCATAGAACTACGCACACAGACACAACCACTCGTTGCAAAACACATAGGAGGAACAATTCGCGCACAAAACGACCGCAGCCGCACCCGTCGCACAGACAAGGTACCTTTCATCGTCGGCTGCAGCCACTTTACACGGAAAAACACAAGGTTTCGTGCTCCGGCTTCCTCCCCAAAACATAGCCCATGCAACATTCATGCCGCCATTACAATGCGTTTCGCAGCATCCCGTGGCAAACCCGCACCTATCTACGCACGTAGCAACATCAAATGACGACAATGAAGCAGCCATTCCAATGCAATCTGCAACCAGAGATTCAAGAACCGCATAGAACTACGCACACAGACACAACCACTCGTTGCAAAACACATAAGGTTTCGTGCTCCGGCTTCCTCCCCAAAACATAGCCCATGCAACATTCATGCAGCCATTACAATCGTTTCGCAGCATCCCGTGGCAAACCCGCACCTATCTACGCACGTGGCAACATCAAATGACGACAATGAAGCAGCCATTCCAATGCAATCTGCAACCAGAGATTCAAGAACCGCATAGAACTACGCACACAGACACAACCACTCGTTGCAAAACACATAGGAGGAACAATTCGCGCACAAAACGACCGCAGCCGCACCCGTCGCACAGACGAGGTACCTTTCATCGTCGGCTGCAGCCACTTTACACAGAAAAACAGAAGGTTTTGTGCTCCGGCTTCCTCCCCAAAACATAGCCCATGCAACATTCATGCAGCCATTACAATGCGTTTCGCAACATCCCGTGGCAAACCCGCACCTATCTACGCACGTGGCAACATCAAATGACGACAATGAAGCAGCCATTCCAATGCAATCTGCAACCGAGATTCAAGAACCGCATAGAACTACGCACACAGACACAACCACTCGTTGCAAAACACATAGGAGGAACAATTCGCGCACAAAACGACCGCAGCCGCACCCGTCGCACAGACGAGGTACCTTTCATCGTCGGCTGCAGCCACTGTACACGGAAAAACACACGGTTTCGTGCTCCTGCTTCCTCCCCAAAACATAGCCCATGCAACATTCATGCAGCCATTACAATGCGATGTGTAACCACAGATTCAAGAAATGCATAGAACTACGCACACAGCTTCAAGAACTACATCACCACTTCCCATCGTCCCCACCTCCCTTTCTCACCACTCCCCTTCATCACCACCTCCCTTCGTCACTACTTCCCTTCCTCAACGCTTCCCATCGTCCCCACCTCCCTTCGTCACCACTCCCCTTCATCACCACTTCCCTTCGTCACCACTTCCCTTCCTCGCCACTTCCCATCGTAACCACATCCCTTCGTCACCACTTCCCTTCCTCAACACTTCCCATCGTCCCCACCTCCCTTCGTCACCACTCCCCTTCATCACCACTTCCCTTCGTCACCACTTCTCTTCGTCGCCACTTCCCATCGTAACCACATCCCTTCGTCACCACCCGGTGTCATAGCTTCTTATTCTTTTGTTATGTATTGTTATGTGACCTACCACCCATCATCAAGGTCAATTCCATAGCTTCTTATTCTTTTGTTATGTATTGTTAGATTATGTATTGTTATGTGATCTACCACCCTTCTTCAAGGTCAATTCCATAGCTTCTTATTCTTTTGTTATGTATTGTTAGATTATGTATTGTTCTGTGATCTACCACCCTTCATCATAGTCAATTGCATCAAGTAAAAGTCATTCGTAACTCGGAAGTATTGCTTCCCAACTTCCTTTGATAATATATATATATATATAATTTAAATAATATATACAATATATAATACATATAATATATATTATATATAATATATATAATATATAAAATATGTAATATAATTTGCAATGAAAAGAATTATTATATATAATATTTTTCAATATATAACATATAATATAATATATATAATATAAAAAACGACCATATATTTTTTAATACAATATATATATATTATATATAATACACAAAATGTAATGTATATAATATATACTAATGTTATATATATAATATAACAATATACATAGTAAAATATCTAATGTAATATATATATATATAATATTTACATATATTATTTATAAATTGCTAATATATTGAATATAATCTTGAAAGTGTAAAATTAAAAAATATATATATGATATATAATATGAAATATTTAGTATATATATTATATATAACGCATAATATATATAATGTATAATATATAATGTATAATGTCTAAAAAATAATCTTTAATATATAATATATAAAACATTATATATTATATACACTATATAATATATATATATATATACAATATTTAATATATATATATAATGTATATATAATAATATATATACAATATATAATATATAATGTATATATAATATATATAGAATATAAAATATATAATGTATATTTAATAATTAAAACATATTATATATAATATAATATATATAATATATATATATAACATATATATTTTATAATATATGTAATATATATAATATCTATACAATATATAATATATAATGTATATATAATAATTAAACTATATTATATATAATATATTATATATATTATCCATATTATATTTATAATATATACATATCATATATCGTATATCATATATATAATATATAATATATATAATATAGTATAGTATAGTATAATATAATATATTATAATATAATATAATATAATATAATATAATATAATATAATATATATATACATACATACATATGTATATATATATATTGTTAAAGAGAAACCAATCGTGATAAGTGGCGCCCCCTTTTTTGGTAAACACCCACACTAGATGGGCATAAGCCCAAAGTGGGGGAGCAATGGGCTTACCAATTTTCTCACGTGAATTAATCCAGGCTTAACCACATTTCCCAACTCTTTTCTCACAGTTGGTTTCAATCCGGCATTGGATAGGGAAAAAAACCACTTTGGTGCACGGGGTCCAATTGAATCGTGTTTTTCGCTTTCTTGCACGAAACTTCTTCATTGAGCAGTGAGTGAGGGTTACTTCATCCGGGGCTAAGTTTGGAAGCCATGGTACCACCTGCTTTGAACAGCATCTATGACTCTATGATCCTAGTCTGCCCCTTGAGTTCCCAGCCTGAGCATTGAAGAACTGGGCTCCCGTACCCAGCGCTGTCGCGACGACATCTCACATGGCAGGTCCCTTGGGGCGTCACCATCTGAGTTCAAATCAGCAGTCAGCAGTGAACTAAACTTCCACTGGGTAATGTCAGTAATGTCTGCCAAAAAGTCCTCAATAAAAAAGAATGTAGTGGAAAAGGGCTTTTCAAACTGCGCTCCAGACAAGTTTTCAATTGTGTCTATCCCGTTCTTGCCCCTGACCGTTGGCCTTGAGCCTTCAATATACCCCGTGGGCGCGTGCAAAATTGATAAACTGTCCTGATTTAAAAACGACAAAAAAAACATATAGGTTTTGTTGCTGTGCCAATGTTTACCCAGAACTTACTACACTTACCCATAAGCAAATGTAAACATTGAAAAAAATATTTCAAATAAAAAAGGTTTCCTGTGGTTTCAATCATCTATATGCAGGATTTTCCATCTAAGTATATGTTGAGGAACAGTAGGGTAATTGTTCATAGCAAGTGTTGATTGCCCATATTCCATAGCAACACCCAAAAAAATGCCGAACTGTTTCCAGCATGCTAGTTCGATGAAATTTACCTTATATTTCCAGGCTTCCCACTTTTGGGCATTTTTGTTGGAGGTTACTTAGAGGATCATCACACTTAGTAAGTGCTTAGTGACTGGGGTTAGTTTCCCCGGTTTCCCCATAACTATTTATAAATGGGATCATCCGCAAATCGGGGACTTCGAATCACTTACCATCCGTGGGACGATCCTCCAGGCTTAACAAAAACTAAAATTGGAACACTGGCCCATTGAAATGGTGTTTTTTCCTATTACCCTCTGGTTATTTGACATAGCCATGGAAAATGGCCCATTTATAGATGGTTTAGCTATTAAAAATGGTGATTTTCCATGGCTATGTTAAATAACCAGAGGGTAACTCATGGCGATGTTCCACATCGATGTTACTTTGCCCCACCACTGCGGCACCTTTTCGCTGCACGTGGTGCCGTGTCTCAGTTGGAACCCTCTTCGAGGGCGGCCCGCTTTGGGCACGAGGAGAGCATATCTTGGATGGCAACAACCGAGTGTTTTGAAAAATCAAACTGTCAAAAAAAATGTAGTTGATTGGGGTATGTATACATATATATATATATACACACACATACTTATATTTAATATATATAGAGAGAGAGAGAGATACATGGCGGTATTGATTGGGATTGGTATGTAATGATGTCATGATGATATATTACATAACCAACCAAAATTAACCGGAAGGTGATATTGTACCTCAGAATTAGCACTCTAAGCGTGCTGCTGGACACACCACGTCTCTGATTTATGCCAATCCTATATTGTCTTCTGCGGAAGGGTGAGAAACAGGCCTCTAATTTTTGCATGGTGCTTGCTGAAAGTTCAGCTGCCATCATAGTCACAGGAAAATCAGGAAACTTCAGCAAAACAGCTATTGTATACATGGATAAATATTCCCATATATATATATATATGTGTGTGTGTGTAATTATTTATATATATATATACCGCATCTCAGAGAGACTCACTTTTCTATCAAGCACCATTTCTGAGCTCGGCTTCCGGAGTTGGTGTCCAGCTCCGAAACCCAACAAAAACAGAGCATCTTCTGCCAGTGAGAGACCTAAACCTTTTGGTGGATTCTTATCACCTGGTGGGTCAAGACGATCAATGCCTTTCAATGCCACGACTGGAGGATCTTTTAAACAAAAAAAAACGGAAAACGAACCTGTCATTGACATCCATCGACCATGGTTGCCTCCATGACTTGACCCACTGTGATTCAGGAGACGGGAGATCTGCGCTCGCACGTGAATTCCACGCTCTAGAAATGCTCCGTGGCGGTGTTCGCATTCATGAGGCTCTTCATAACGTGAACATCCTGGCATCATCTCCATGTGACCCACGGGGCTAGTCTGAAAAAGGTATGAAAATGTGATATCCCAAAATCCTGTCCTTATCAGCATGTTCATTCATTTTCCCACGAGGCCCCTCGCCCCCCCCTTCCCCCCCTAGTCATGCGCCGACCCTGGCCTGTTGCAGCTGTTTCAAGATCCGTCTGGAACCCCTGACCCGGCAAGGCGGTAAGGAAGATGAACAACTGCGGCTCCCCACACCCCGTAAAACCTCAACAACATAATGTTCTGCCCCATACTTAGCCACGTTTCTAGCTGGGTTGACATGGGTTCCTCTAACTCACATCTATGGTGGAAAAATATTTGTTTGATTATGTTTGATTTAGATGGGTTTAGAAACCAACTGGGGTCGCCCACCTTGCAGGGAATCCGAAGATGTAGGAAAACAGGGAAGTGGATTTCTCTGACTTGGAAATTTCAAGGCGAACTGATCTTGCAAGTGGATCTGGCAAACGTGTCTGGTCCATGTTCCATTTCTGGACGTTGAAACAAGGGAAGGTGGGTAACCAGCCGGGTAGCCATTTGGAGGGTGGAACATGCTGTCTGCACCAAGTCCCACTGGGAAATGTGGTTGTGGCCTCAATTTCCCAGGAGAAATTCCATGAAATTCCTGACATATTGTTTGAAGAGAGACTGATACGTGTTTCTTCAAGTTGCAAAATGTTATACAGGTGCGCATCTGTGTGTGTGTGCGCACACCTCTTGCACAGGGCCTCAGGGGGATGGAGAGGACATATGATCAAACTAAGTTCCTCACATGATCCTAGATATGACCAGGGACGCCTGGTGACGTACCTGCACCATTTTTTCTGCATTCGGCTAGTTGAACTGTTGGCTCCTTTTTGTTCACCGATGTATTGCTTTCCCGCATTTCACTTGATGAACTGATTTCCACTCTGCATTTCACTCGACGAACTCTTGTTTTCAATTCTTTATCAACGCTGTTGTTACCAACATTGCAACTACCAGGTGCTCTCCGCCTCAAGTATTTGCATTTCACCTCAACCTCAACCGCTTGGATTTACTTTCGACCTCTACCATGTGGATTCATTCTCGGATTTCAAGGGCGTTACGACCTCACCATTTTGGATTCAACCTCACAACCCGCAACCAGACAGTGTGTGTGGGCGCATCTTCTCAGTGGAAGCAAAAACTGTACCAATTACTTTACTTCGAGCATCCCCACCATGACATTATTTTGTCATGATTCTGACATCTCATCTGGAAGTATATATGGCACATATTTTCTGACATTCTATTCTGGCATTCTATCTGACATTCTGTTCTGACGTTCTATCTGGCATTCATTCTGATATTCTATTTGGCATGTATTCTGGCATTCTATTTTAGCAAGAAAACCACCTGATATATGCCATATCTTATGACATTCTTTCTGGCATATGTATCTGGCATATCCTCTGACATTCTTCCTGGCATTCTATCTGGTATAGATTCTTCGTGGTTGAGGTCCGGCGGGGAACACTCTGATCCGGTGCTCGCGGTGGAGGTCCGGCGGGGAACACTGCGATCTAGCGCTTGCAGTTGAGGTCCGGCGGAGGGGGGAGGCGGGACAGCTGACATAAAATCTAACAACCCTCACCTGACAGGTGGGGAACAAAAACTGTGATCATCATTTGTGGTGGACTCTTGGAAAATATGGTGCCCAAACCACAAGCCGTGGTTTAGAATTTTTGAACATCATTTTCCCAAGTTGAAACGCGGGGATCACCAGGGTATCCAAACCAGCATTTTCAGACCCCGTGCCTATTTTCGAAGCGCATTTGGGCCAGCTGCATGCCTCGGCCGAAACGTGGCGCCATCTGGGATACATGGTATCCTCCTAGTTCGTTGTGGACCAAAACTTGAAAAGTAGGGGTTCTTGAACAAACGATGGAAGCAACAAAATGGGTTCAAAGTTCAGAACAAATGCGGGATGTCACCAACCCAGACTTCACTGGAATATATTATCGATATCCCCCGCTTGCTTGCCATGCCAACTGCCCACTTTCAAAGATCATTCCAAATGAGCTCTGAAACCGCATCTGCCCTAGGAATCGGTCCACAAGGCAGCCAGAGAACTGGACCGATTCCGGCTCATCAATTGCCAGCGAGGATGGAAGATTAAAAAAATATTACACATCTAACAAACCACCAAACAGTCATCCACCATTGGCCACGGTCATCTGCAAAGGGGCCCGTTTTTTACTTTCTGAGTCAGTTTCTCGGGATTGTTTGGTCCGAACTAGTGGTGTGAACCCATCCGAGGCAGTGTCCCCTTCAACAAGCTGCTGCCAACCAAAAAGATGTCCACACGCCTCTCAATCAGTCACAAATGGCAACCCTTGCTTGGTATTTGGGATGGTTTCGGAAGCTTGGGAGCGCCAAGATAATACACAACATAGTACAACCCCTTTCGCATGCCCATTCGAAAGTACCATGGGTTTTTCCCTGGTTTGTAAACGTGCCTCCATTTACAGCAAAAGATAAGGTACTAAACTGTCCAGCCAATTGGTTTACGCAGAAACCACCAGTCAAATACCGGTGGTCCATCGGCATTACTTGATTGATATATCACTGTGTATCACTATAGCCCCATCATGGTTTGGTACATCCCCATTTTCAACAACTCTGTTTGTATGCCTTCGGGCACTAAAAATATAAATAGTGTATACACATTGTACAAACATTACTTAAAAAAAATGTTGTATGTATGTATGTATGTATGTAGGTAGGTAGGTAGGTAGGTAGGTATGTATGTATGTATGTCTGTGTGTATGTATGTATGTATGTATGCATGCATGCATGCATGCATGTATGTTTTTAAATATATATATATATGTACGAATATAAATATATATATATACGAATATATATATATATATCATTGTAAACCATTCAAAGCCACTGTCCAGATCATGTTGAAGGACTGTGTATGTATATATATATATACATCATAACATCCCCATGATGGCCGGGGCACTCTTGGCAGGGCCATGGAGCTGCATGCACCCCGTCACGAACTCTTCCAGATCGATGGTTCCACTGCGGTCCGTGTCCAACAAGATGCACGGAGTCCTGGTTTTTTACAAGGCATCAAAGATGGCTTAACCATCAAAAGTTTGGGTACTGATAATCGAAAATCGTGAGCCCACCATCCAAGACCTTCATCATCAAAGACAGTTAACCATCAAAGTTGATTCAAAGCTACAATTGAGATATAATGAGTGGTATGATAGGATGTGCTGGGAAAATTGTTCGCCGGCAAGAATGAGGTCAGTTCTCGTGCGCGAGCTGGGGCCGCGCATGCTCATCGCATGCCTTTTTCAAAGATCTCTGCGCAAGGGCTTCAAAAGATCTCTTTAGAGAGGATGGCTGTTAAGTGGCTTCGAATATCTCCTGACAAAATCTCTGCGCAAAATCTTCCTTTCAAGATCGCATTCACATCGATGAAAAGAAATCTTTCCGCAGAGGTTTTTGGAAAGATCCATAAAAAGGATTCTCCCTTGTAGAAGAATTCTTTGGGAAGTCTCTTAAGGGAATCTTTGGGGAGAAAAATTATCCATATGTTTTTCCCACCTGCCAGGGTGAGGCCTCTAGATTTTATTACAGACTTTCCCGCCTCCTCTTCTCCTCTCTTCCTCTTCTCCTCCTAGTCTGCAACCGCGAGCTCCAAGAAGATCAGTGGGCACTGCCGGACCTCAACCGCGAGTGCCAGATCTCAGTGGGCACTGCTGGACCTCAACCACGAGCGCCAGCTCTCAGTCGGCACTGCCGGACCTCAACCGCGAGCGCCAGCTCTCAGTGGGCACTGCCGGACGTCAACTGCGAGTTCCAGATCTCAGAGGGCACTGCCAGACCTCAACCGCGAGCTTCAGAGCTCAGCGGGCACTGCCAGACCTCAGCCAGAGGCCAAAGAGAATGTCAAATAGAATGCCGGAAAGAATGCCAGAATGAATGCCTGAAAAGATATCAGAATAGATGCCAGAAAGAATGTCAAAATATATGCCAGAGAGTAAGTGAGGATAGATGCCAGATAGAATGTCAGATAGAATGTCAAATAAAATCTCAAAGTATATGCCCGAAAGAATGTCAGATAGGATGCCAGAATAAATATGCCATATATTATATATATATATATATATGAGTATACTTCCAAATGGCATGTCAGAAACTATGTCAGAATAGTGTTTTAGGGTGGGGATCAGTCGAAGAAAATCCCTGCAGCTCCCTGGGTCCAGACATCGTCTGTGGAGATCCCCATCGACTCCAAGAAGTTCTTCAACTCGCCTCCTCTCATGGCTTCCTCCAGGTCCTGCGCCAGTTCACAAGAGAGTTAACCATGAGTAGGATCTCATCACGAAAACATGATCTAAACCATGTAGAATTGGATCTAACGGTCGAAAAATGGGCATCAAGAACTCAAAGTTTGACTTACAACTTCAAAACAGTTAGATTTGACCATGCAAACGTTGGATTTAAGCACAAATCCAAATATCTAGAGTAATTAAACCAAGAAAAGTTGTGATGGGACTGGGCATACACCGGAATCCAATCCTCATGCTGTGATCTGAAAAATCACCGATCTTTTTTCAGAGGATGATTCATTCTTGGTGCGTATCCCCACGTTTATATACGTTTCTTATATTGTGTGTTTAACTCCGTCTTTTGGCTGATTTGCCACCTCATATCTCCTTGATATTCGCCTGATGATATGCATTTTTCATCAACACCAAAACATTCCTTGCGTTACCTGCATACTGTGACTTCATGCTTGAGCCACCCATTAAATGAGGGCATGTCGTTTTTATCATGGAGGCATCAGAAGGATAATCTTCTAGTTGGATCTATGGAGCCGCGGGTTTTGAAAAATTCAAATAATTGCGCAACACATCTCAGAATGGAGAAAATTGTTCCAACTGGAAATCAACCGCAAGTTCAAGACTTTTCGTTGCTGGACAAGACGCTGCGAAGCCACCTCCACAATCTGTGGGATTGCCCTTCCGACTTTCCAGTCTGTGACAGGTTTTTCCCAAAATTGTTGTCTTGGGGACTACTCAACTACACAAGGGGCCTCAACCTTGGATCTCAACAACCATTGTCCTCCCTGAATTTGCCTCCTTCCCATATTTTATTTCTCCCGTTTCATCATTGGTTCATCCCCAATTTTTGCGGATGGAATCCATGTCTTTCCGGGTGAATCTTCCTTCAGGTGACGGCGCCTGTAATAGGCCCATGGTGTTGAACTTGAAATGAGGCAGGTCTCATCTGCAAGCTGTTTGAAAAAAAAAACGCTCACGGGCCCCCAGCTCTACAATTTTTTCGGTCTTGAAACGTCAGGTCTTTTCCCCAGATAGAAAACTGTCCACAACTCTCCTCGATACTAACCTCATCGGATCCGCTCGAGTCGATTTCATAGAAGATCTTCTTCAAGGTAGAGACCTGCCGAAAACAAGCCAGGTTTCCTGCTGCAACCTGGGAATCCCCTGCCGTAAAACTTTGATTATTACATTGTTACATGTGTTTAACACCAATACCCCTCAGGTATGACAATCCCACATGCGAAGAATCTCAGGCTGTGGACAAAAGTTCGCAGGTATTTGGGGTATAAAGACATTCCTACAGAACTAATTAACACTTTCACTAGGGGCGTGCTGGTGTTGAAACCCCCACCCCAAAAAAAACAGGCTAATTACATCCCCAAATCTGCTGATCAAAAAGAGATAAGTCTTTTCCCGAAAGGAACTGAAGGCTTTGAACTCCTGATGAATTTCCATCGACATTTGAACGCCCCGGCACCTGATTGGACTTGGTGTACACTTGCTTGATGCTGGCAAGCTCTTTGTCGGCACCCGCATTCTCTATGGCTGTGTTACAGAAAACACCAATAACTACCTCAGTTTGATGATGATGATGTAGACAATGACGCTGCCCGCACTTGCCCGCAGCCGCAGCGCAGGCCAGAGGCGATCGCCAGAATAGAATGGAGGTGGTTCTAGTCGTCGTGGCGCTGCTGCAACACATCAGCACGTGTTGCAGCTGCAAACCTTAGAAGTTTGTTGTCATGGTCCACCTTAGTAGGATCAGTAGTGGGCCATGCGAGTCTTTCCTGCAGCACATCGTGGGGTCTAATAGTAGGATCACGGTGTGGGTTCTGAGTACATTCCCAAAGCATGTGCTGCACAGTGGCACAAACATGTTGGCAATAAGGGCATGTTTCTTCAGCACCTCCCATGGCATTTCGACATTGAGGTGAAATGAAAGCACCAGTTACAACAGCCAGTTCGTGACTGTTGAGTTTTTCTTGCGCAGAATATTAATGCGGGTCAGGTCACATGGAATGTCTGCACAAACCGTTGAGTCGCGTCGGTCAAGTTCCAAGAATTCCTCATATTTTCTGATTCGCCAAGCATCTCTGAGCCTATGTGACAGCACTTCGGTCGCCTTTTCAGGCAGCGTGGTTGGTTGAATCTGAATAGTTTCAAGCATCGGGTGCGTCCAGGTCCAACTACCAGCCTCAGCGAACCCAAGTTCTTGCATGCCTTTTCTAAAGCTACCCGTCCAGCCACTCATTTTGGGTGGCCAGTTTTGCAACTGCATCTGTGTTTTGTGAACATAGCGGGTGAGGACTCGGAGAGTCGTAACCGTGGCAGCAAAACCTAAGTCCCACCAATGGCCAGTAAAAATTTGGAGTAAAGGTACGGCTGACTGCTTTGGCCACTGATGCAGCGCTTTTGCTCCCTGAAAGAAAGCGTTGCTTTCAGCATGAGTGGGTCTTCGAAACAGCCATCCCCAACTTGCTTTTGCTGGGGCACAAACCCTGGCAACTGCAGCTTTACGTGTTTTGGAACCTGGGAGGCACCTACATTTTCGAAGAACTTCTTTGGCCTCAGTGAGTCTTGTCAGTTCTCGGTCTTTGGCTTTTCTTTGGGTCACTCCCATGAACTGGAATCCCAACAAGGTGATGGAAGTGGAAACTGTTTCTGGAGGACAGCCGGCATCCTCGAGAGATCGGCAACCTTGAACGTTGCGGTGGTAATATTGCTCTTTGGTGGGGTTTTCTTGAAGACCAACCTTATTGCTCCAAACATGCCATTCATTTCGAACTTGCCATATTTCAGTCGCAGTGGAACAAGTGAAAGAACGATCATCGGCATATAAAGCTTGAACGCAACAAGGGTATTTTCTCTGAATGTGATTGGCAATGGGAGTAAGCAAAACACACATGCCTAACATGCTAAAGCAGTCACCTTGCGGCAGGGAGCGCTTGACAACATGGTTGTTTGGGAAAAATTCGTCATGGAGCTGAAGAAAACGGATTTGTTCGCTCCACATGCTTAACAACATGCGTGCAGCTTTGCGCGGCATACCTTGGTGGACAAAGAGTTTGCAGATTATCTCAGGGTCAGAATAATCGAAAGCTTTTGTCAGGTCAAGTGTACCAACCGGCCAGCTATGCATGTCTTTGAGGATTATGTGAGAGATAGCATCCTCAACACCTTTTTGGGGAATTCCCCCAAACATGAATTCGGGGGTGGATGTGTGGATCCATTCCTGAACCTCAGTTTGTTTGAATCTGGCTCGGCTGCAGATTCGCCAGATTATCGACATCACAGCTATGGGACGCATGTTGTCCGCCAGCATGCTGCCGTCAGCTTCAGGTGGTTTCCCTTTCGGGATATGCACTTGGCGAACACATCGCCATATGGTAGGAATGTTTCCGAGCTCTTCACAATGATCATAGAACCCGGACATGACCTGCCACATTTCGTCACTGAACAAACTAAGTTCCTCAGCTCTCCAGCCGTCAAGCCCCGGCGCACTGCCGCGGCTACACTTGGTGGCAGAACGGAGTTGTTCCGGTGTGAGGCTTGGCCAGCTGTCAGGAGCAGGGCGTGGTGGAGTGTGAGTAACCAAATCATCCCAAATATCATCCCAAGAGATTTGACGTCTATTCCAAATATCGGCCCAAAATTCCCTGAGAATCCTCAGGCTGTCTTGGGTGGAGTGACTAGGAACAGAGTCTTTGGTTTTCTTAACCGCATTGCACATGGGAACAGATCTATGTCGCAGCCACCTGTATGCAGCCTTGTCATGTTCCATGTTGTTTCTCCATCGTTGAAGTCTGGTGTAGTCATCTTCATGATTGAACCGTTCCAAAAGCGTTTCAAGATGCCGAAGGTTTCTTTGTATACCCCAATCATGGTTGTACATAGAACACCGTCTGATTTTATTCCAGAGAACTCGGCTTTCAGTGATATTTTGCCTGTCTTGATCCAAGTTTCGCTGGGCTTCCCGCAACCTTCCAATCAATCTGCGCAGAACTCTTTGGCGGTGAGTAGCCATAGCTCCAGCAGGATGTCGTTTCATGTGTTCTTTCTGTTTAAGAGAGACCTCAGTGGCCTTTCCTTTCCTCAGTAAGGCCGGAGACACTCGCTGCAGCATGTCAGGGGCAGCAGCCCTGACTGCACAAACTAGGGCTTGAAAAAAAGTTTGCGAAAGCATCTGCCAGTCCTGGTCAACATTGACTGACCATCGCTCTGGAAGTTGTGTGGAAAACTGCGGCCAGAGCTGAGCCAATTTGATTTGGATTCGTTCAGCAACTTCCGGGTCCTTCGGGAGGATTCTAGGAATGTTGGCTTGTTGGAAACCTAAAACAGGTTCGGTAGATAAATCGAAAAAAGTTTTGACAATTTTGTGGTCGGCTACAACATCAGGAAGCGTTTCGACCTCAGTGGGCTCAAGGTTACTGATATAGTAGTCAATATCGCGGTTTCCTTGCCACCGCGTTGGGGTTTGAGTGGCATGAATACGAAATTCCCTAGGAATCAAGAAATGAAGAAAGGGATTCTCTTCGGGTGTGGCATTGTAATCCCCCCCCAAAATAAAACGATGTCTTGGAGCGAGAGAGTGGACAGTTTGAGCCACAGCTGCACTCACGGTTTCTGCATCACTGTTAGGAGCCAGGTAAGTGGAGATGACCAGAGTTGATCCCACCCACACAGCTTGGGCACTACCTCCTTTGTGAGTGTGTGACCAGGCCGGTCTACAAGGTAGTGAAGATTTAACCAAGACTGCAGCTCCTCCGTAGTGTCGATTGACGGTGCTTTGCGCACCGGAGAAAAAACTTCTGTACCCCACAGACCAACAAGTTTTTTGAAATGTGGTCCATTCAGCCTGGCTAAAAGAGCATTCCTGAAGCAGCACAATCTGAGGTGCCTGCTCCTGGGTTTGGAGCAGCTGTTGTAAGGTCCACGATTGTTTGGGTCCTTGAGTGTTGCATGTCCAAACTGACACATGTTGATCCAAGTTGCGCAATTTTCGTGATCTTGGTCCTGGATGGGACGCTTCACCAATTCTCACAGCAACCTTATCATTATGGTCATGTTCTTTGGCTCTACGGCTGCGCTTGTTGGAGGATTGGGAGGCAAAAAGCTCCTCCCCCTGCTGCAGAGTCTTCCCCCATGCTTGACTGAGGGCTTTTTTTTGGGTTTTAGTTAAAGACTGCCAATATCTTTTCTGAGACTGGAAACCTTTGGAGGTGGGATCATGTCCCAGGCATGGATTCGTCCAGATTTTGACAGCACCAAGTGGATTAACCTTGTGGCAAATTTTACAGGTCAGGTATCCCTTGGGAAACTTTTTAGCAGTGGAGTCCGGGTGGCGCATGGCATCCGGCGGAAGGACCTCAGTAACTAAGTGCCCTGCAGCTTGCGCCGCCTGAAAAGTGGTGGCAAACGGACCGCTAAGCCACTTGGCTGGCCCTTTACCGTTGACTCTTTTTTTGGTTTGGAAGTTTGCATTTGCAACCTCGGCTTCAGTCATACCAAGTCCGTTTCTGATGGCACCTTGGTTCGCAGGGTGTCGCAAAGCCATGTTTCGGATCCAACCCAGCAATTGAGTCGGGATAGGTTGAGTTTCATCAGTGCATGCGGTGGTTTTGAATCTACATGGTGTCCCTTTTCGTCTGCATTTGGCACAAACAAGCACGGACGTCAAATCAAGTTTGCGTCTCTCTTCTTTGGGGTTATGTTTGAGAAGAATTTGGCGAACATCATGCCCCGTTTGCGGAGCCCAAACTTTCAGGTTGTCAGCGACCTTCTGTTGTTTGAGCTGACCTATATGTCTGCCTCGCAGTTTCATACGAGCTCGAAGGCCTTTGTCAGTTCTTTGTTTCTTCCTGTACGCCTGAGTTGGATTTGTGTCAGGGTGTGCCTCGGCAAAATGTTTGCGGACACTAGCTTCGTGCCACACTAGCTTCGTGCCAAACTTTTGGCAACAGTGGGAGTCCTTTCCCGCATTCTGGGCAACTCCAGGCTCTGCCACTTTCAGGAAGTTCCGAGGTCGGGACTGTGATCTGAGTTTGAGCACCGAGTCGCGGGCATTCAGCTCTTTCGGAATCTGTATGTCTATTTTTCAGGTGTGAACTTTTTGCAGCTTGAAGCTTGGCTCTCGCTTGCAAACCTGCAGGAATTCTGATTTCATGCCGGCAGTCAGGCAGCGGACAAACCCATACCTGAGGTCCTTGCGGTTTGGCAAGCGTCTTAGCATCCAGCCGCTTGAGGTGTCGAGGATATGGAGCAGTGTCAGGGCGAAAGTCGCATTCTGTGTTGTCATTTTTGACTGCGCCTTTGTCCTTAGTACCCGACCGGTCCTTGGTCAGGTTGTCTGTCAAATTGAGGTGAGTTTCTGAGGTTAAAGATAAAACCGAAGCTTTATCGTTCTCAGAGGGTGCAAGAAACTTCATGTCTTCAATCCTTGAGTCACAACTGCTTTGCTTGAACCTGCATCTTTTGAATGGTCTTGCAACCGTTTCACTCGGATGCTGCAACTGCTGGGATTTGATGGCAGCACGCGGAGGTTCGCAGGAGTGAGGGGAGGCAGCCAAGGTAAGAAGAGAGGGGGAGCGCGGAGGATGGGGTCGCGCAAGGGCACCCGAAGAACCACCACCCGCCGCATGGCCGTGCACAACCGCGCGCAGACGCGGAGGAGAAGACGCGGAAGGAACCAAGGAGTGCAGGGACGGCGCGCGCGTGATCATCACACCCCCACCCGAGGATCCGCGAAAGGAGGAGGCGGGGAGAGTATGGAGCGAAGGAGCATGGGAAGAGCCAGGGGAGAGCGTGTGCAGGGTTTTAGGCGATTCTCCAACGCTTGGTCCAGCGCCTCCAAGTGCTTCGGCCTCGGGTTTGGCTGTCTCTCGCGCCCAGTGTTTGGGCACCTTAGTCATGCCGTCCTGATCCTGGGGTGGTCGGACGGATTGATAATGTTTGTCGTTTCTGTACACCACCAGGATTGGTGCTTCTTTTTTCATTCTGGGCATCCCCTGTGGACTCCACTCAGGAGCGAAAGTGAATCTTTCCAGAACTTCATCTTTTTGATTCCACACCACTATGCAGCATGATTTCACCTCTGCTGCTGCTTGCAGCAGCAGTCCACATATCCAGTGAGTTTGCTTCAACGCATTGTCACAAAAGGCAGGAAAGGCCTCTTTCCCACCTCTGACATGGTTTTCGTACCTATCTTGATGTTTGCGAACATGTCGTACCACTTCCGTACGAAATAGATTGGCATTTTTGATGCATTCTTCTTTGGAAAGAGTCTCACCAGTGGTTTGATAATGAAAGTTGTCTATTAATGCCCGGTACCCACAGTCACCGCATCCACCTTGATCGGCCAGCGTCCAGTTTTGGGTTAAGGCATCCGTCAAATTACCAAGAGACTGCGAGGTTGGCTTTGAACTCTGCTTGTCAATCGCTTCAGGCTGAGTCTGAGAGTCCAACTGCGTTTTTTCGACTTCCATTGGGTCCTTATTTTCATCGCCCTTTTCGGGCTTCTCAGCGGCAGATCTGGACCGATGTCGCTCATCGGGTTCTTTGGCCTGCCTCTTCGCGGGGCGCCCCCGCGTGTTGGCCGTCTGTGGAGGCTGATCCTTAATTTCATCCCATGTCTTCCTTGGTCCTCTGACTGCAGTGGTGCTGTTTGGCGCTGCAGGTTTATGGACCGAGTCGTTGACTATTATGGTAAACACAGTGGCACCTTCATACACCCAAAGACCCTGGTCGTATGGGTATGCAACAGGAGGCATTCCACAGGCGTTCCAAAAAATTTTCTTGTTGACCCTTCTTCTATTGTGAATAGTCATTTGGGTCCATCCTTGTTGTTTGAGGAAATCAACCAGTTCTTCCGCCATCCAGTCCCTGGGAACTCCAGAAATCTGAATTCGTTTGGGTTTCTTTTCGATGTCTTCATCTGATTTCTTTGTGAAACCAATGTCATTTCCCAACCCTTTCCGTAAGCACATCGGCTGGCCTCTCTCGCCTGAAAGACGAAGGCATCTCTGGTAGTATGCTTCATCGGTTTCATCTTTTTCGTGTTTGGTCCACACAAAATGCGGACGTTCCTTAGAGGTATCAATATTCTTATTGATAAAAATACCTTTTTTCCCTGATTTTTCCAGGAGGGTTTCCGCATCTTTTTTGGTGAGCTTAAGCCATCCTACCAAACTTGAACTTTGTTTCTGCCATTCCTGTCTTTCCCACCTGCCACCTGTGAGGACATGTGCACGACATCCAAAAGTGGCCAAGTCGGAAATGACATCAACGACACGTTCCTTTTGGGGTTCAGATACAAAGAGTTCTCTATAGTGAGAGGGAACGACAATTCTGACCAATTCCCTTTCAACCGTAGTAACATTGTTGGGATCAACTTTAACAGGGTGAGTTCTCCAAGGGTAGTCAGAGCCTAAACCGAGCAAGGCAATGTCTTCGACCTTGGCATGTTGGTTTGTCCTTTGAAGCCTGGTCCTGCTCAGTGTGATGCCAAGCTGATTCATTGCATCAGCTGACAAAACCAAAGTGAGTCCTTTCGTGAAACCAAAGCTTGTGTACAAGTCACGAAGTTCTTGGGTGACCTGTCTGTCATGACTGCAGCAAATATTTCCATCCCAGTCTTTTCCTTCCTTAATGGCCTGGCAAACTGTTTGCGCATCCACAAGTTTGATTGGCTTGTTCCATTCAACTGGGTTGAGAGCTCGCACCTTGGCAAGGTTTGGAGTATTCTGTTGAGGTTTGTGAACCTCAGTGTCTTGTTTCTTTTCATTATGTCTGGGGTTGTGGTCCACTGTGGTAACTTTGTCACCACGCTTGTCCCACCACCACCATCCTGTTTGTGGGTCTCTGCAATACTGTTTCCACGCACCATTCATTTTCCACCATCCTGTCTCAAGAATGGTGTAGTCTTCATCTTTGTTGTCCCGCAGCTGCTCTTGTCTAGACGGGTCAGGTTTGGGCTCCTGTTTCACCGTTTTCTTTTTCTTAAACATCTTTTTGGGTGAATTTTGACCGACCACTTGACCTAACAAGGACATCACGGATTCAAACTCTTTCGGAAAAGAACCTTGGTTAAGACATACCTTCAAACCTTGGATCAAACTCCTAACCGCGGCGTTGTCATTGTCACTGTAATTCTTTTTCCTTTGCGTCCTTCGTTTATATCCACCTTGCAACCACTCAGAGGCAAAAATGCAATTGTTCGCATCAGGCTTGTACCAGCTCAGTGCATCATATCCAAGTGGCCATTCTTCGGGTCTCGGAAAACCCGAATAGAGGAAAGAGTATGACAGGGAAACATCCATGCCATTGGTTCGAACATATGTCCATCTCATCCGAAGCTTCAAAGCACATCGTCTGTGTTTCAGGCGTGCTTTTCCGAGTCTGTGCGTGCTGCATTTTCTAGCAGCACATGCAACATGTGGTTTCAACAACTTCTGACAGCGTTTGAGATCACTGCATTTTTTCACTGAGCGTTTGTTTTTCAAGCGTTTGATGATTCGTTTTCGTTTGCGTTTGTCTTGAGCCCGTTTGAGACATGCAAGCACAAATTGCTTAGTGACACCGTACCTAAGCAACCAGCCGCAAATTTCTCCCATGGTGCCCAAACAAAACCAGATAAGAAAGGGTGACCAATGAATTTTTTCATCAAACCATCCCATCTCAAAATTCCACATTTCGAGGGGAAAAGATTCCCAGGGGCGAAACCCAATTTTCCACCATTCCAAACCCAAATTCCACATTTTGGAGGAAACAAAATTCAGAGGGTAAAATCCAAACTTCCCATGGTGACACCTAGCGACCAAATCCAAAATCACATTGAGGATCCCAGGGAATTTACGTTTTGAGGGGTCAGAACCAGAACCGTAGGGGTGGATATCGAAAGTAGTTGCACTTACTTCCGTCAAAAGTCTGAAACCAGCTTCCACATCCACGGAGCCATATTCGCTCAGCGCATCTGCAATCTGCCGCCCGCTGCGAGGCACATCGATTGTCAGCTGCCATTTTTTCCCGTTGCGGGTCATCTCTGGGGGGCCGTTAGACTGAGTTGTGGCATTTTCCACAATCAATCCAGGGCGGCCGGTGTAATTGACGTCATGGTTGGCGGCCAGGTCCTTGTTGGTGTCAAATGCAGCACAGCAAGGCACAGACCAGCAAAGCATCAGCAGCCAGCCAGCCATCATCCTAGGATTGGCCTTATGGCTCTTGTCTTTTTTGGCGATTTGAAAAATCGCTCTCTTCGTGCAATGCACATTCAAATTCTTGAATTGGTTCTTTTTGTCTTCCTTTTTTGACTTTTGTTCTTTTTCTTTTTCTTTTGTATTTTTCTTTTCAAATTCTTCTGCAACAAACGTGGGCCATGCCACGTTAATTTTCTCTCCTGCCTGGCACCCGTGACGAGCCCGCAGCGACCGTGCCACTCTGCTGTGGCTGGAGGCGCAGGAGAAGCTGCTTACGACATTTAATGATGATGTAGACAATGACGCTGCCCGCACTTGCCCGCAGCCGCAGCGCAGGCCAGAGGCGATCGCCAGAATAGAATGGAGGTGGTTCTAGTCGTCGTGGCGCTGCTGCAACACATCAGCACGTGTTGCAGCTGCAAACCTTAGAAGTTTGTTGTCATGGTCCACCTTAGTAGGATCAGTAGTGGGCCATGCGAGTCTTTCCTGCAGCACATCGTGGGGTCTAATAGTAGGATCACGGTGTGGGTTCTGAGTACATTCCCAAAGCATGTGCTGCACAGTGGCACAAACATGTTGGCAATAAGGGCATGTTTCTTCAGCACCTCCCATGGCATTTCGACATTGAGGTGAAATGAAAGCACCAGTTACAACAGCCAGTTCGTGACTGTTGAGTTTTTTCTTGCGCAGAATATTAATGCGGGTCAGGTCACATGGAATGTCTGCACAAACCGTTGAGTCGCGTCGGTCAAGTTCCAAGAATTCCTCATATTTTCTGATTCGCCAAGCATCTCTGAGCCTATGTGACAGCACTTCGGTCGCCTTTTCAGGCAGCGTGGTTGGTTGAATCTGAATAGTTTCAAGCATCGGGTGCGTCCAGGTCCAACTACCAGCCTCAGCGAACCCAAGTTCTTGCATGCCTTTTCTAAAGCTACCCGTCCAGCCACTCATTTTGGGTGGCCAGTTTTGCAACTGCATCTGTGTTTTGTGAACATAGCGGGTGAGGACTCGGAGAGTCGTAACCGTGGCAGCAAAACCTAAGTCCCACCAATGGCCAGTAAAAATTTGGAGTAAAGGTACGGCTGACTGCTTTGGCCACTGATGCAGCGCTTTTGCTCCCTGAAAGAAAGCGTTGCTTTCAGCATGAGTGGGTCTTCGAAACAGCCATCCCCAACTTGCTTTTGCTGGGGCACAAACCCTGGCAACTGCAGCTTTACGTGTTTTGGAACCTGGGAGGCACCTACATTTTCGAAGAACTTCTTTGGCCTCAGTGAGTCTTGTCAGTTCTCGGTCTTTGGCTTTTCTTTGGGTCACTCCCATGAACTGGAATCCCAACAAGGTGATGGAAGTGGAAACTGTTTCTGGAGGACAGCCGGCATCCTCGAGAGATCGGCAACCTTGAACGTTGCGGTGGTAATATTGCTCTTTGGTGGGGTTTTCTTGAAGACCAACCTTATTGCTCCAAACATGCCATTCATTTCGAACTTGCCATATTTCAGTCGCAGTGGAACAAGTGAAAGAACGATCATCGGCATATAAAGCTTGAACGCAACAAGGGTATTTTCTCTGAATGTGATTGGCAATGGGAGTAAGCAAAACACACATGCCTAACATGCTAAAGCAGTCACCTTGCGGCAGGGAGCGCTTGACAACATGGTTGTTTGGGAAAAATTCGTCATGGAGCTGAAGAAAACGGATTTGTTCGCTCCACATGCTTAACAACATGCGTGCAGCTTTGCGCGGCATACCTTGGTGGACAAAGAGTTTGCAGATTATCTCAGGGTCAGAATAATCGAAAGCTTTTGTCAGGTCAAGTGTACCAACCGGCCAGCTATGCATGTCTTTGAGGATTATGTGAGAGATAGCATCCTCAACACCTTTTTGGGGAATTCCCCCAAACATGAATTCGGGGGTGGATGTGTGGATCCATTCCTGAACCTCAGTTTGTTTGAATCTGGCTCGGCTGCAGATTCGCCAGATTATCGACATCACAGCTATGGGACGCATGTTGTCCGCCAGCATGCTGCCGTCAGCTTCAGGTGGTTTCCCTTTCGGGATATGCACTTGGCGAACACATCGCCATATGGTAGGAATGTTTCCGAGCTCTTCACAATGATCATAGAACCCGGACATGACCTGCCACATTTCGTCACTGAACAAACTAAGTTCCTCAGCTCTCCAGCCGTCAAGCCCCGGCGCACTGCCGCGGCTACACTTGGTGGCAGAACGGAGTTGTTCCGGTGTGAGGCTTGGCCAGCTGTCAGGAGCAGGGCGTGGTGGAGTGTGAGTAACCAAATCATCCCAAATATCATCCCAAGAGATTTGACGTCTATTCCAAATATCGGCCCAAAATTCCCTGAGAATCCTCAGGCTGTCTTGGGTGGAGTGACTAGGAACAGAGTCTTTGGTTTTCTTAACCGCATTGCACATGGGAACAGATCTATGTCGCAGCCACCTGTATGCAGCCTTGTCATGTTCCATGTTGTTTCTCCATCGTTGAAGTCTGGTGTAGTCATCTTCATGATTGAACCGTTCCAAAAGCGTTTCAAGATGCCGAAGGTTTCTTTGTATACCCCAATCATGGTTGTACATAGAACACCGTCTGATTTTATTCCAGAGAACTCGGCTTTCAGTGATATTTTGCCTGTCTTGATCCAAGTTTCGCTGGGCTTCCCGCAACCTTCCAATCAATCTGCGCAGAACTCTTTGGCGGTGAGTAGCCATAGCTCCAGCAGGATGTCGTTTCATGTGTTCTTTCTGTTTAAGAGAGACCTCAGTGGCCTTTCCTTTCCTCAGTAAGGCCGGAGACACTCGCTGCAGCATGTCAGGGGCAGCAGCCCTGACTGCACAAACTAGGGCTTGAAAAAAAGTTTGCGAAAGCATCTGCCAGTCCTGGTCAACATTGACTGACCATCGCTCTGGAAGTTGTGTGGAAAACTGCGGCCAGAGCTGAGCCAATTTGATTTGGATTCGTTCAGCAACTTCCGGGTCCTTCGGGAGGATTCTAGGAATGTTGGCTTGTTGGAAACCTAAAACAGGTTCGGTAGATAAATCGAAAAAAGTTTTGACAATTTTGTGGTCGGCTACAACATCAGGAAGCGTTTCGACCTCAGTGGGCTCAAGGTTACTGATATAGTAGTCAATATCGCGGTTTCCTTGCCACCGCGTTGGGGTTTGAGTGGCATGAATACGAAATTCCCTAGGAATCAAGAAATGAAGAAAGGGATTCTCTTCGGGTGTGGCATTGTAATCCCCCCCCAAAATAAAACGATGTCTTGGAGCGAGAGAGTGGACAGTTTGAGCCACAGCTGCACTCACGGTTTCTGCATCACTGTTAGGAGCCAGGTAAGTGGAGATGACCAGAGTTGATCCCACCCACACAGCTTGGGCACTACCTCCTTTGTGAGTGTGTGACCAGGCCGGTCTACAAGGTAGTGAAGATTTAACCAAGACTGCAGCTCCTCCGTAGTGTCGATTGACGGTGCTTTGCGCACCGGAGAAAAAACTTCTGTACCCCACAGACCAACAAGTTTTTTGAAATGTGGTCCATTCAGCCTGGCTAAAAGAGCATTCCTGAAGCAGCACAATCTGAGGTGCCTGCTCCTGGGTTTGGAGCAGCTGTTGTAAGGTCCACGATTGTTTGGGTCCTTGAGTGTTGCATGTCCAAACTGACACATGTTGATCCAAGTTGCGCAATTTTCGTGATCTTGGTCCTGGATGGGACGCTTCACCAATTCTCACAGCAACCTTATCATTATGGTCATGTTCTTTGGCTCTACGGCTGCGCTTGTTGGAGGATTGGGAGGCAAAAAGCTCCTCCCCCTGCTGCAGAGTCTTCCCCCATGCTTGACTGAGGGCTTTTTTTTGGGTTTTAGTTAAAGACTGCCAATATCTTTTCTGAGACTGGAAACCTTTGGAGGTGGGATCATGTCCCAGGCATGGATTCGTCCAGATTTTGACAGCACCAAGTGGATTAACCTTGTGGCAAATTTTACAGGTCAGGTATCCCTTGGGAAACTTTTTAGCAGTGGAGTCCGGGTGGCGCATGGCATCCGGCGGAAGGACCTCAGTAACTAAGTGCCCTGCAGCTTGCGCCGCCTGAAAAGTGGTGGCAAACGGACCGCTAAGCCACTTGGCTGGCCCTTTACCGTTGACTCTTTTTTTGGTTTGGAAGTTTGCATTTGCAACCTCGGCTTCAGTCATACCAAGTCCGTTTCTGATGGCACCTTGGTTCGCAGGGTGTCGCAAAGCCATGTTTCGGATCCAACCCAGCAATTGAGTCGGGATAGGTTGAGTTTCATCAGTGCATGCGGTGGTTTTGAATCTACATGGTGTCCCTTTTCGTCTGCATTTGGCACAAACAAGCACGGACGTCAAATCAAGTTTGCGTCTCTCTTCTTTGGGGTTATGTTTGAGAAGAATTTGGCGAACATCATGCCCCGTTTGCGGAGCCCAAACTTTCAGGTTGTCAGCGACCTTCTGTTGTTTGAGCTGACCTATATGTCTGCCTCGCAGTTTCATACGAGCTCGAAGGCCTTTGTCAGTTCTTTGTTTCTTCCTGTACGCCTGAGTTGGATTTGTGTCAGGGTGTGCCTCGGCAAAATGTTTGCGGACACTAGCTTCGTGCCAAACTTTTGGCAACAGTGGGAGTCCTTTCCCGCATTCTGGGCAACTCCAGGCTCTGCCACTTTCAGGAAGTTCCGAGGTCGGGACTGTGATCTGAGTTTGAGCACCGAGTCGCGGGCATTCAGCTCTTTCGGAATCTGTATGTCTATTTTTCAGGTGTGAACTTTTTGCAGCTTGAAGCTTGGCTCTCGCTTGCAAACCTGCAGGAATTCTGATTTCATGCCGGCAGTCAGGCAGCGGACAAACCCATACCTGAGGTCCTTGCGGTTTGGCAAGCGTCTTAGCATCCAGCCGCTTGAGGTGTCGAGGATATGGAGCAGTGTCAGGGCGAAAGTCGCATTCTGTGTTGTCATTTTTGACTGCGCCTTTGTCCTTAGTACCCGACCGGTCCTTGGTCAGGTTGTCTGTCAAATTGAGGTGAGTTTCTGAGGTTAAAGATAAAACCGAAGCTTTATCGTTCTCAGAGGGTGCAAGAAACTTCATGTCTTCAATCCTTGAGTCACAACTGCTTTGCTTGAACCTGCATCTTTTGAATGGTCTTGCAACCGTTTCACTCGGATGCTGCAACTGCTGGGATTTGATGGCAGCACGCGGAGGTTCGCAGGAGTGAGGGGAGGCAGCCAAGGTAAGAAGAGAGGGGGAGCGCGGAGGATGGGGTCGCGCAAGGGCACCCGAAGAACCACCACCCGCCGCATGGCCGTGCACAACCGCGCGCAGACGCGGAGGAGAAGACGCGGAAGGAACCAAGGAGTGCAGGGACGGCGCGCGCGTGATCATCACACCCCCACCCGAGGATCCGCGAAAGGAGGAGGCGGGGAGAGTATGGAGCGAAGGAGCATGGGAAGAGCCAGGGGAGAGCGTGTGCAGGGTTTTAGGCGATTCTCCAACGCTTGGTCCAGCGCCTCCAAGTGCTTCGGCCTCGGGTTTGGCTGTCTCTCGCGCCCAGTGTTTGGGCACCTTAGTCATGCCGTCCTGATCCTGGGGTGGTCGGACGGATTGATAATGTTTGTCGTTTCTGTACACCACCAGGATTGGTGCTTCTTTTTTCATTCTGGGCATCCCCTGTGGACTCCACTCAGGAGCGAAAGTGAATCTTTCCAGAACTTCATCTTTTTGATTCCACACCACTATGCAGCATGATTTCACCTCTGCTGCTGCTTGCAGCAGCAGTCCACATATCCAGTGAGTTTGCTTCAACGCATTGTCACAAAAGGCAGGAAAGGCCTCTTTCCCACCTCTGACATGGTTTTCGTACCTATCTTGATGTTTGCGAACATGTCGTACCACTTCCGTACGAAATAGATTGGCATTTTTGATGCATTCTTCTTTGGAAAGAGTCTCACCAGTGGTTTGATAATGAAAGTTGTCTATTAATGCCCGGTACCCACAGTCACCGCATCCACCTTGATCGGCCAGCGTCCAGTTTTGGGTTAAGGCATCCGTCAAATTACCAAGAGACTGCGAGGTTGGCTTTGAACTCTGCTTGTCAATCGCTTCAGGCTGAGTCTGAGAGTCCAACTGCGTTTTTTCGACTTCCATTGGGTCCTTATTTTCATCGCCCTTTTCGGGCTTCTCAGCGGCAGATCTGGACCGATGTCGCTCATCGGGTTCTTTGGCCTGCCTCTTCGCGGGGCGCCCCCGCGTGTTGGCCGTCTGTGGAGGCTGATCCTTAATTTCATCCCATGTCTTCCTTGGTCCTCTGACTGCAGTGGTGCTGTTTGGCGCTGCAGGTTTATGGACCGAGTCGTTGACTATTATGGTAAACACAGTGGCACCTTCATACACCCAAAGACCCTGGTCGTATGGGTATGCAACAGGAGGCATTCCACAGGCGTTCCAAAAAAATTTTCTTGTTGACCCTTCTTCTATTGTGAATAGTCATTTGGGTCCATCCTTGTTGTTTGAGGAAATCAACCAGTTCTTCCGCCATCCAGTCCCTGGGAACTCCAGAAATCTGAATTCGTTTGGGTTTCTTTTCGATGTCTTCATCTGATTTCTTTGTGAAACCAATGTCATTTCCCAACCCTTTCCGTAAGCACATCGGCTGGCCTCTCTCGCCTGAAAGACGAAGGCATCTCTGGTAGTATGCTTCATCGGTTTCATCTTTTTCGTGTTTGGTCCACACAAAATGCGGACGTTCCTTAGAGGTATCAATATTCTTATTGATAAAAATACCTTTTTTCCCTGATTTTTCCAGGAGGGTTTCCGCATCTTTTTTGGTGAGCTTAAGCCATCCTACCAAACTTGAACTTTGTTTCTGCCATTCCTGTCTTTCCCACCTGCCACCTGTGAGGACATGTGCACGACATCCAAAAGTGGCCAAGTCGGAAATGACATCAACGACACGTTCCTTTTGGGGTTCAGATACAAAGAGTTCTCTATAGTGAGAGGGAACGACAATTCTGACCAATTCCCTTTCAACCGTAGTAACATTGTTGGGATCAACTTTAACAGGGTGAGTTCTCCAAGGGTAGTCAGAGCCTAAACCGAGCAAGGCAATGTCTTCGACCTTGGCATGTTGGTTTGTCCTTTGAAGCCTGGTCCTGCTCAGTGTGATGCCAAGCTGATTCATTGCATCAGCTGACAAAACCAAAGTGAGTCCTTTCGTGAAACCAAAGCTTGTGTACAAGTCACGAAGTTCTTGGGTGACCTGTCTGTCATGACTGCAGCAAATATTTCCATCCCAGTCTTTTCCTTCCTTAATGGCCTGGCAAACTGTTTGCGCATCCACAAGTTTGATGATGATGTAGACAATGACGCTGCCCGCACTTGCCCGCAGCCGCAGCGCAGGCCAGAGGCGATCGCCAGAATAGAATGGAGGTGGTTCTAGTCGTCGTGGCGCTGCTGCAACACATCAGCACGTGTTGCAGCTGCAAACCTTAGAAGTTTGTTGTCATGGTCCACCTTAGTAGGATCAGTAGTGGGCCATGCGAGTCTTTCCTGCAGCACATCGTGGGGTCTAATAGTAGGATCACGGTGTGGGTTCTGAGTACATTCCCAAAGCATGTGCTGCACAGTGGCACAAACATGTTGGCAATAAGGGCATGTTTCTTCAGCACCTCCCATGGCATTTCGACATTGAGGTGAAATGAAAGCACCAGTTACAACAGCCAGTTCGTGACTGTTGAGTTTTTTCTTGCGCAGAATATTAATGCGGGTCAGGTCACATGGAATGTCTGCACAAACCGTTGAGTCGCGTCGGTCAAGTTCCAAGAATTCCTCATATTTTCTGATTCGCCAAGCATCTCTGAGCCTATGTGACAGCACTTCGGTCGCCTTTTCAGGCAGCGTGGTTGGTTGAATCTGAATAGTTTCAAGCATCGGGTGCGTCCAGGTCCAACTACCAGCCTCAGCGAACCCAAGTTCTTGCATGCCTTTTCTAAAGCTACCCGTCCAGCCACTCATTTTGGGTGGCCAGTTTTGCAACTGCATCTGTGTTTTGTGAACATAGCGGGTGAGGACTCGGAGAGTCGTAACCGTGGCAGCAAAACCTAAGTCCCACCAATGGCCAGTAAAAATTTGGAGTAAAGGTACGGCTGACTGCTTTGGCCACTGATGCAGCGCTTTTGCTCCCTGAAAGAAAGCGTTGCTTTCAGCATGAGTGGGTCTTCGAAACAGCCATCCCCAACTTGCTTTTGCTGGGGCACAAACCCTGGCAACTGCAGCTTTACGTGTTTTGGAACCTGGGAGGCACCTACATTTTCGAAGAACTTCTTTGGCCTCAGTGAGTCTTGTCAGTTCTCGGTCTTTGGCTTTTCTTTGGGTCACTCCCATGAACTGGAATCCCAACAAGGTGATGGAAGTGGAAACTGTTTCTGGAGGACAGCCGGCATCCTCGAGAGATCGGCAACCTTGAACGTTGCGGTGGTAATATTGCTCTTTGGTGGGGTTTTCTTGAAGACCAACCTTATTGCTCCAAACATGCCATTCATTTCGAACTTGCCATATTTCAGTCGCAGTGGAACAAGTGAAAGAACGATCATCGGCATATAAAGCTTGAACGCAACAAGGGTATTTTCTCTGAATGTGATTGGCAATGGGAGTAAGCAAAACACACATGCCTAACATGCTAAAGCAGTCACCTTGCGGCAGGGAGCGCTTGACAACATGGTTGTTTGGGAAAAATTCGTCATGGAGCTGAAGAAAACGGATTTGTTCGCTCCACATGCTTAACAACATGCGTGCAGCTTTGCGCGGCATACCTTGGTGGACAAAGAGTTTGCAGATTATCTCAGGGTCAGAATAATCGAAAGCTTTTGTCAGGTCAAGTGTACCAACCGGCCAGCTATGCATGTCTTTGAGGATTATGTGAGAGATAGCATCCTCAACACCTTTTTGGGGAATTCCCCCAAACATGAATTCGGGGGTGGATGTGTGGATCCATTCCTGAACCTCAGTTTGTTTGAATCTGGCTCGGCTGCAGATTCGCCAGATTATCGACATCACAGCTATGGGACGCATGTTGTCCGCCAGCATGCTGCCGTCAGCTTCAGGTGGTTTCCCTTTCGGGATATGCACTTGGCGAACACATCGCCATATGGTAGGAATGTTTCCGAGCTCTTCACAATGATCATAGAACCCGGACATGACCTGCCACATTTCGTCACTGAACAAACTAAGTTCCTCAGCTCTCCAGCCGTCAAGCCCCGGCGCACTGCCGCGGCTACACTTGGTGGCAGAACGGAGTTGTTCCGGTGTGAGGCTTGGCCAGCTGTCAGGAGCAGGGCGTGGTGGAGTGTGAGTAACCAAATCATCCCAAATATCATCCCAAGAGATTTGACGTCTATTCCAAATATCGGCCCAAAATTCCCTGAGAATCCTCAGGCTGTCTTGGGTGGAGTGACTAGGAACAGAGTCTTTGGTTTTCTTAACCGCATTGCACATGGGAACAGATCTATGTCGCAGCCACCTGTATGCAGCCTTGTCATGTTCCATGTTGTTTCTCCATCGTTGAAGTCTGGTGTAGTCATCTTCATGATTGAACCGTTCCAAAAGCGTTTCAAGATGCCGAAGGTTTCTTTGTATACCCCAATCATGGTTGTACATAGAACACCGTCTGATTTTATTCCAGAGAACTCGGCTTTCAGTGATATTTTGCCTGTCTTGATCCAAGTTTCGCTGGGCTTCCCGCAACCTTCCAATCAATCTGCGCAGAACTCTTTGGCGGTGAGTAGCCATAGCTCCAGCAGGATGTCGTTTCATGTGTTCTTTCTGTTTAAGAGAGACCTCAGTGGCCTTTCCTTTCCTCAGTAAGGCCGGAGACACTCGCTGCAGCATGTCAGGGGCAGCAGCCCTGACTGCACAAACTAGGGCTTGAAAAAAAGTTTGCGAAAGCATCTGCCAGTCCTGGTCAACATTGACTGACCATCGCTCTGGAAGTTGTGTGGAAAACTGCGGCCAGAGCTGAGCCAATTTGATTTGGATTCGTTCAGCAACTTCCGGGTCCTTCGGGAGGATTCTAGGAATGTTGGCTTGTTGGAAACCTAAAACAGGTTCGGTAGATAAATCGAAAAAAGTTTTGACAATTTTGTGGTCGGCTACAACATCAGGAAGCGTTTCGACCTCAGTGGGCTCAAGGTTACTGATATAGTAGTCAATATCGCGGTTTCCTTGCCACCGCGTTGGGGTTTGAGTGGCATGAATACGAAATTCCCTAGGAATCAAGAAATGAAGAAAGGGATTCTCTTCGGGTGTGGCATTGTAATCCCCCCCCAAAATAAAACGATGTCTTGGAGCGAGAGAGTGGACAGTTTGAGCCACAGCTGCACTCACGGTTTCTGCATCACTGTTAGGAGCCAGGTAAGTGGAGATGACCAGAGTTGATCCCACCCACACAGCTTGGGCACTACCTCCTTTGTGAGTGTGTGACCAGGCCGGTCTACAAGGTAGTGAAGATTTAACCAAGACTGCAGCTCCTCCGTAGTGTCGATTGACGGTGCTTTGCGCACCGGAGAAAAAACTTCTGTACCCCACAGACCAACAAGTTTTTTGAAATGTGGTCCATTCAGCCTGGCTAAAAGAGCATTCCTGAAGCAGCACAATCTGAGGTGCCTGCTCCTGGGTTTGGAGCAGCTGTTGTAAGGTCCACGATTGTTTGGGTCCTTGAGTGTTGCATGTCCAAACTGACACATGTTGATCCAAGTTGCGCAATTTTCGTGATCTTGGTCCTGGATGGGACGCTTCACCAATTCTCACAGCAACCTTATCATTATGGTCATGTTCTTTGGCTCTACGGCTGCGCTTGTTGGAGGATTGGGAGGCAAAAAGCTCCTCCCCCTGCTGCAGAGTCTTCCCCCATGCTTGACTGAGGGCTTTTTTTTGGGTTTTAGTTAAAGACTGCCAATATCTTTTCTGAGACTGGAAACCTTTGGAGGTGGGATCATGTCCCAGGCATGGATTCGTCCAGATTTTGACAGCACCAAGTGGATTAACCTTGTGGCAAATTTTACAGGTCAGGTATCCCTTGGGAAACTTTTTAGCAGTGGAGTCCGGGTGGCGCATGGCATCCGGCGGAAGGACCTCAGTAACTAAGTGCCCTGCAGCTTGCGCCGCCTGAAAAGTGGTGGCAAACGGACCGCTAAGCCACTTGGCTGGCCCTTTACCGTTGACTCTTTTTTTGGTTTGGAAGTTTGCATTTGCAACCTCGGCTTCAGTCATACCAAGTCCGTTTCTGATGGCACCTTGGTTCGCAGGGTGTCGCAAAGCCATGTTTCGGATCCAACCCAGCAATTGAGTCGGGATAGGTTGAGTTTCATCAGTGCATGCGGTGGTTTTGAATCTACATGGTGTCCCTTTTCGTCTGCATTTGGCACAAACAAGCACGGACGTCAAATCAAGTTTGCGTCTCTCTTCTTTGGGGTTATGTTTGAGAAGAATTTGGCGAACATCATGCCCCGTTTGCGGAGCCCAAACTTTCAGGTTGTCAGCGACCTTCTGTTGTTTGAGCTGACCTATATGTCTGCCTCGCAGTTTCATACGAGCTCGAAGGCCTTTGTCAGTTCTTTGTTTCTTCCTGTACGCCTGAGTTGGATTTGTGTCAGGGTGTGCCTCGGCAAAATGTTTGCGGACACTAGCTTCGTGCCAAACTTTTGGCAACAGTGGGAGTCCTTTCCCGCATTCTGGGCAACTCCAGGCTCTGCCACTTTCAGGAAGTTCCGAGGTCGGGACTGTGATCTGAGTTTGAGCACCGAGTCGCGGGCATTCAGCTCTTTCGGAATCTGTATGTCTATTTTTCAGGTGTGAACTTTTTGCAGCTTGAAGCTTGGCTCTCGCTTGCAAACCTGCAGGAATTCTGATTTCATGCCGGCAGTCAGGCAGCGGACAAACCCATACCTGAGGTCCTTGCGGTTTGGCAAGCGTCTTAGCATCCAGCCGCTTGAGGTGTCGAGGATATGGAGCAGTGTCAGGGCGAAAGTCGCATTCTGTGTTGTCATTTTTGACTGCGCCTTTGTCCTTAGTACCCGACCGGTCCTTGGTCAGGTTGTCTGTCAAATTGAGGTGAGTTTCTGAGGTTAAAGATAAAACCGAAGCTTTATCGTTCTCAGAGGGTGCAAGAAACTTCATGTCTTCAATCCTTGAGTCACAACTGCTTTGCTTGAACCTGCATCTTTTGAATGGTCTTGCAACCGTTTCACTCGGATGCTGCAACTGCTGGGATTTGATGGCAGCACGCGGAGGTTCGCAGGAGTGAGGGGAGGCAGCCAAGGTAAGAAGAGAGGGGGAGCGCGGAGGATGGGGTCGCGCAAGGGCACCCGAAGAACCACCACCCGCCGCATGGCCGTGCACAACCGCGCGCAGACGCGGAGGAGAAGACGCGGAAGGAACCAAGGAGTGCAGGGACGGCGCGCGCGTGATCATCACACCCCCACCCGAGGATCCGCGAAAGGAGGAGGCGGGGAGAGTATGGAGCGAAGGAGCATGGGAAGAGCCAGGGGAGAGCGTGTGCAGGGTTTTAGGCGATTCTCCAACGCTTGGTCCAGCGCCTCCAAGTGCTTCGGCCTCGGGTTTGGCTGTCTCTCGCGCCCAGTGTTTGGGCACCTTAGTCATGCCGTCCTGATCCTGGGGTGGTCGGACGGATTGATAATGTTTGTCGTTTCTGTACACCACCAGGATTGGTGCTTCTTTTTTCATTCTGGGCATCCCCTGTGGACTCCACTCAGGAGCGAAAGTGAATCTTTCCAGAACTTCATCTTTTTGATTCCACACCACTATGCAGCATGATTTCACCTCTGCTGCTGCTTGCAGCAGCAGTCCACATATCCAGTGAGTTTGCTTCAACGCATTGTCACAAAAGGCAGGAAAGGCCTCTTTCCCACCTCTGACATGGTTTTCGTACCTATCTTGATGTTTGCGAACATGTCGTACCACTTCCGTACGAAATAGATTGGCATTTTTGATGCATTCTTCTTTGGAAAGAGTCTCACCAGTGGTTTGATAATGAAAGTTGTCTATTAATGCCCGGTACCCACAGTCACCGCATCCACCTTGATCGGCCAGCGTCCAGTTTTGGGTTAAGGCATCCGTCAAATTACCAAGAGACTGCGAGGTTGGCTTTGAACTCTGCTTGTCAATCGCTTCAGGCTGAGTCTGAGAGTCCAACTGCGTTTTTTCGACTTCCATTGGGTCCTTATTTTCATCGCCCTTTTCGGGCTTCTCAGCGGCAGATCTGGACCGATGTCGCTCATCGGGTTCTTTGGCCTGCCTCTTCGCGGGGCGCCCCCGCGTGTTGGCCGTCTGTGGAGGCTGATCCTTAATTTCATCCCATGTCTTCCTTGGTCCTCTGACTGCAGTGGTGCTGTTTGGCGCTGCAGGTTTATGGACCGAGTCGTTGACTATTATGGTAAACACAGTGGCACCTTCATACACCCAAAGACCCTGGTCGTATGGGTATGCAACAGGAGGCATTCCACAGGCGTTCCAAAAAATTTTCTTGTTGACCCTTCTTCTATTGTGAATAGTCATTTGGGTCCATCCTTGTTGTTTGAGGAAATCAACCAGTTCTTCCGCCATCCAGTCCCTGGGAACTCCAGAAATCTGAATTCGTTTGGGTTTCTTTTCGATGTCTTCATCTGATTTCTTTGTGAAACCAATGTCATTTCCCAACCCTTTCCGTAAGCACATCGGCTGGCCTCTCTCGCCTGAAAGACGAAGGCATCTCTGGTAGTATGCTTCATCGGTTTCATCTTTTTCGTGTTTGGTCCACACAAAATGCGGACGTTCCTTAGAGGTATCAATATTCTTATTGATAAAAATACCTTTTTTCCCTGATTTTTCCAGGAGGGTTTCCGCATCTTTTTTGGTGAGCTTAAGCCATCCTACCAAACTTGAACTTTGTTTCTGCCATTCCTGTCTTTCCCACCTGCCACCTGTGAGGACATGTGCACGACATCCAAAAGTGGCCAAGTCGGAAATGACATCAACGACACGTTCCTTTTGGGGTTCAGATACAAAGAGTTCTCTATAGTGAGAGGGAACGACAATTCTGACCAATTCCCTTTCAACCGTAGTAACATTGTTGGGATCAACTTTAACAGGGTGAGTTCTCCAAGGGTAGTCAGAGCCTAAACCGAGCAAGGCAATGTCTTCGACCTTGGCATGTTGGTTTGTCCTTTGAAGCCTGGTCCTGCTCAGTGTGATGCCAAGCTGATTCATTGCATCAGCTGACAAAACCAAAGTGAGTCCTTTCGTGAAACCAAAGCTTGTGTACAAGTCACGAAGTTCTTGGGTGACCTGTCTGTCATGACTGCAGCAAATATTTCCATCCCAGTCTTTTCCTTCCTTAATGGCCTGGCAAACTGTTTGCGCATCCACAAGTTTGATTGGCTTGTTCCATTCAACTGGGTTGAGAGCTCGCACCTTGGCAAGGTTTGGAGTATTCTGTTGAGGTTTGTGAACCTCAGTGTCTTGTTTCTTTTCATTATGTCTGGGGTTGTTTCTTTTCATTATGTCTGGGGTTGTGGTCCACTGTGGTAACTTTGTCACCACGCTTGTCCCACCACCACCATCCTGTTTGTGGGTCTCTGCAATACTGTTTCCACGCACCATTCATTTTCCACCATCCTGTCTCAAGAATGGTGTAGTCTTCATCTTTGTTGTCCCGCAGCTGCTCTTGTCTAGACGGGTCAGGTTTGGGCTCCTGTTTCACCGTTTTCTTTTTCTTAAACATCTTTTTGGGTGAATTTTGACCGACCACTTGACCTAACAAGGACATCACGGATTCAAACTCTTTCGGAAAAGAACCTTGGTTAAGACATACCTTCAAACCTTGGATCAAACTCCTAACCGCGGCGTTGTCATTGTCACTGTAATTCTTTTTCCTTTGCGTCCTTCGTTTATATCCACCTTGCAACCACTCAGAGGCAAAAATGCAATTGTTCGCATCAGGCTTGTACCAGCTCAGTGCATCATATCCAAGTGGCCATTCTTCGGGTCTCGGAAAACCCGAATAGAGGAAAGAGTATGACAGGGAAACATCCATGCCATTGGTTCGAACATATGTCCATCTCATCCGAAGCTTCAAAGCACATCGTCTGTGTTTCAGGCGTGCTTTTCCGAGTCTGTGCGTGCTGCATTTTCTAGCAGCACATGCAACATGTGGTTTCAACAACTTCTGACAGCGTTTGAGATCACTGCATTTTTTCACTGAGCGTTTGTTTTTCAAGCGTTTGATGATTCGTTTTCGTTTGCGTTTGTCTTGAGCCCGTTTGAGACATGCAAGCACAAATTGCTTAGTGACACCGTACCTAAGCAACCAGCCGCAAATTTCTCCCATGGTGCCCAAACAAAACCAGATAAGAAAGGGTGACCAATGAATTTTTTCATCAAACCATCCCATCTCAAAATTCCACATTTCGAGGGGAAAAGATTCCCAGGGGCGAAACCCAATTTTCCACCATTCCAAACCCAAATTCCACATTTTGGAGGAAACAAAATTCAGAGGGTAAAATCCAAACTTCCCATGGTGACACCTAGCGACCAAATCCAAAATCACATTGAGGATCCCAGGGAATTTACGTTTTGAGGGGTCAGAACCAGAACCGTAGGGGTGGATATCGAAAGTAGTTGCACTTACTTCCGTCAAAAGTCTGAAACCAGCTTCCACATCCACGGAGCCATATTCGCTCAGCGCATCTGCAATCTGCCGCCCGCTGCGAGGCACATCGATTGTCAGCTGCCATTTTTTCCCGTTGCGGGTCATCTCTGGGGGGCCGTTAGACTGAGTTGTGGCATTTTCCACAATCAATCCAGGGCGGCCGGTGTAATTGACGTCATGGTTGGCGGCCAGGTCCTTGTTGGTGTCAAATGCAGCACAGCAAGGCACAGACCAGCAAAGCATCAGCAGCCAGCCAGCCATCATCCTAGGATTGGCCTTATGGCTCTTGTCTTTTTTGGCGATTTGAAAAATCGCTCTCTTCGTGCAATGCACATTCAAATTCTTGAATTGGTTCTTTTTGTCTTCCTTTTTTGACTTTTGTTCTTTTTCTTTTTCTTTTGTATTTTTCTTTTCAAATTCTTCTGCAACAAACGTGGGCCATGCCACGTTAATTTTCTCTCCTGCCTGGCACCCGTGACGAGCCCGCAGCGACCGTGCCACTCTGCTGTGGCTGGAGGCGCAGGAGAAGCTGCTAACCTGAAATCTGGATGATGATGTAGACAATGACGCTGCCCGCACTTGCCCGCAGCCGCAGCACAGGCCAGAGGCGATCGCCAGAATAGAATGGAGGTGGTTCTAGTCGTCGTGGCGCTGCTGCAACACATCAGCACGTGTTGCAGCTGCAAACCTTAGAAGTTTGTTGTCATGGTCCACCTTAGTAGGATCAGTAGTGGGCCATGCGAGTCTTTCCTGCAGCACATCGTGGGGTCTAATAGTAGGATCACGGTGTGGGTTCTGAGTACATTCCCAAAGCATGTGCTGCACAGTGGCACAAACATGTTGGCAATACGGGCATGTTTCTTCAGCACCTCCCATGGCATTTCGACATTGAGGTGAAATGAAAGCACCAGTTACAACAGCCAGTTCGTGACTGTTGAGTTTTTTCTTGCGCAGAATATTAATGCGGGTCAGGTCACATGGAATGTCTGCACAAACCGTTGAGTCGCGTCGGTCAAGTTCCAAGAATTCCTCATATTTTCTGATTCGCCAAGCATCTCTGAGCCTATGTGACAGAACTTCGGTCGCCTTTTCAGGCAGCGTGGTTGGTTGAATCTGAATAGTTTCAAGCATCGGGTGCGTCCAGGTCCAACTACCAGCCTCAGCGAACCCAAGTTCTTGCATGCCTTTTCTAAAGCTACCCGTCCAGCCACTCATTTTGGGTGGCCAGTTTTGCAACTGCATCTGTGTTTTGTGAACATAGCGGGTGAGGACTCGGAGAGTCGTAACCGTGGCAGCAAAACCTAAGTCCCACCAATGGCCAGTAAAAATTTGGAGTAAAGGTACGGCTGACTGCTTTGGCCACTGATGCAGCGCTTTTGCTCCCTGAAAGAAAGCGTTGCTTTCAGCATGAGTGGGTCTTCGAAACAGCCATCCCCAACTTGCTTTTGCTGGGGCACAAACCCTGGCAACTGCAGCTTTACGTGTTTTGGAACCTGGGAGGCACCTACTAACCTGAAATCTGGATGATGATGTAGACAATGACGCTGCCCGCACTTGCCCGCAGCCGCAGCGCAGGCCAGAGGCGATCGCCAGAATAGAATGGAGGTGGTTCTAGTCGTCGTGGCGCTGCTGCAACACATCAGCACGTGTTGCAGCTGCAAACCTTAGAAGTTTGTTGTCATGGTCCACCTTAGTAGGATCAGTAGTGGGCCATGCGAGTCTTTCCTGCAGCACATCGTGGGGTCTAATAGTAGGATCACGGTGTGGGTTCTGAGTACATTCCCAAAGCATGTGCTGCACAGTGGCACAAACATGTTGGCAATACGGGCATGTTTCTTCAGCACCTCCCATGGCATTTCGACATTGAGGTGAAATGAAAGCACCAGTTACAACAGCCAGTTCGTGACTGTTGAGTTTTTTCTTGCGCAGAATATTAATGCGGGTCAGGTCACATGGAATGTCTGCACAAACCGTTGAGTCGCGTCGGTCAAGTTCCAAGAATTCCTCATATTTTCTGATTCGCCAAGCATCTCTGAGCCTATGTGACAGCACTTCGGTCGCCTTTTCAGGCAGTGTGGTTGGTTGAATCTGAATAGTTTCAAGCATCGGGTGCGTCCAGGTCCAACTACCAGCCTCAGCGAACCCAAGTTCTTGCATGCCTTTTCTAAAGCTACCCGTCCAGCCACTCATTTTGGGTGGCCAGTTTTGCAACTGCATCTGTGTTTTGTGAACATAGCGGGTGAGGACTCGGAGAGTCGTAACCGTGGCAGCAAAACCTAAGTCCCACCAATGGCCAGTAAAAATTTGGAGTAAAGGTACGGCTGACTGCTTTGGCCACTGATGCAGCGCTTTTGCTCCCTGAAAGAAAGCGTTGCTTTCAGCATGAGTGGGTCTTCGAAACAGCCATCCCCAACTTGCTTTTGCTGGGGCACAAACCCTGGCAACTGCAGCTTTACGTGTTTTGGAACCTGGGAGGCACCTACATTTTCGAAGAACTTCTTTGGCCTCAGTGAGTCTTGTCAGTTCTCGGTCTTTGGCTTTTCTTTGGGTCACTCCCATGAACTGGAATCCCAACAAGGTGATGGAAGTGGAAACTGTTTCTGGAGGACAGCCGGCTTCCTCGAGAGATCGGCAACCTTGAACGTTGCGGTGGTAATATTGCTCTTTGGTGGGGTTTTCTTGAAGACCAACCTTATTGCTCCAAACATGCCATTCATTTCGAACTTGCCATATTTCAGTCGCAGTGGAACAAGTGAAAGAACGATCATCGGCATATAAAGCTTGAACGCAACAAGGGTATTTTCTCTGAATGTGATTGGCAATGGGAGTAAGCAAAACACACATGCCTAACATGCTAAAGCAGTCACCTTGCGGCAGGGAGCGCTTGACAACATGGTTGTTTGGGAAAAATTCGTCATGGAGCTGAAGAAAACGGATTTGTTCGCTCCACATGCTTAACAACATGCGTGCAGCTTTGCGCGGCATACCTTGGTGGACAAAGAGTTTGCAGATTATCTCAGGGTCAGAATAATCGAAAGCTTTTGTCAGGTCAAGTGTACCAACCGGCCAGCTATGCATGTCTTTGAGGATTATGTGAGAGATAGCATCCTCAACACCTTTTTGGGGAATTCCCCCAAACATGAATTCGGGGGTGGATGTGTGGATCCATTCCTGAACCTCAGTTTGTTTGAATCTGGCTCGGCTGCAGATTCGCCAGATTATCGACATCACAGCTATGGGACGCATGTTGTCCGCCAGCATGCTGCCGTCAGCTTCAGGTGGTTTCCCTTTCGGGATATGCACTTGGCGAACACATCGCCATATGGTAGGAATGTTTCCGAG